CAAAAGTCGTTTCGTTCGAAAGATTACAAAAGTAACAAACCATCAGCTAGATGGAGTAAGAAAAAAAAGAGGAGATTCAGATTACTAAAATCAGAAGTGAACATGGGACTATTACTATCAATTCTACAGAAACAAGGTTCTGTGAGAACAATTGTATGGCAACAAGCTGGATAATTTCAATGAAATGGACAAGTTCCTAAAAGATGCGAAGGCAACCAATTCTTCAAATTATGAAGAATTAGAGAATCTAAATCAGCTCATAATTAGTAAGGAGATCAAATCGACAACCAAAATGCTCACGACCTGATGACTTTACTGGTAAATTCTACCAAACATTTAAAGAACATCTAACAACAATTCTCAGACTATCCCCAAAAAATTTTAAAGAAGAAACAATTTCTAATTCATTCCATGAGGCTGGCAATACACTGAGAGCAAAAACAGTCAAAGCCATTACGGGAAAACTGCAGGAAAATATCCCCTATAAATAGTTATGCAAAAATCTTCAACAAAATACAAGGAAACCAAATCCAGCAGCATATTAAAAGGATTATGTATTACAACCAAGTACAGTTTATTCTTGTAATACAATGATGGTTTGACATATGAAAATTGATTGACATAAGACACCAGTTCAGTAGAATAAAGGGGGAAAACAATACCATCTCAATGCAGAAAAAGCATTAACAAAACTCAACATCCTCTCATAATTGAACACTCAGTAAACTAAGATTAGAAGGAAATCAGTTCAACATAATAAAAACCATACACAAAAACCTCAGAGAACATCACATTACATGTTTGAAGACGAAATATTTGATGAGGAAGAAAATAAGGATTTCTATTTTCATCATTTTTATTCAATAATAGAATTTCTAGACAGCAATTAGGCAAAGGAAAGGGAAAAAATTCAAATTAGAAAGGAAGTAAAATTATTTCTGTTCACAGATGCTATCATCTGAAAAACTATATGTTGAAAACTCTAATGACATGAAGCCCCCAAATATTTTAACTAATAAATGAACTTAGCAAAATAGCTGTACACATATCCACTTCATTTCGATATACTAATAAAGAACAATCTGAAAAGGAAATCATGTAAACAATTTCATCTATAGTAGTATCATGAAAGAATAAACTACTTTGGAATTAACACCTAAATAGGTGGAAGACAAGCATGATAAAAACTACACAGCAGAAAAATTAAAAAACAAAACTACAAAGCAGGTTAGGATGTGGCTCAGCCTGTCATGCTAAAACCCCTGGGTTCAATTCCTAGTATCCAAAACAAATAAATAAGCAAGACTACAAAACATTGCTGAAAGAAAGTATAGACATAAATTAATTGAAACATATTCCACCGTTCATGGATTGGGAGATATTTTTGAGATGCTGGTTCTGCCCCCAAGCAATCTGCAGATTCAATGAAATGTCTATCACAATCCCAATAATGTTTCTTACACAAACAGAAAAACCACCCTAAAATTCATATTGAATTTCAGTAGCCCCAAATTTCCAAAACAAACTTAGCAGTATCTTAGAGGAGTCATATTTTCTGATGTGAAAACTTTACAAAGTTATAGTAATCAAAAACAGTGTGGGGCCAGCATTAAAACAAATAAAATGAAGATCCTAGAAATAAACCCTTAGTTGGATGTGGGGGGCACACCCGTGACCCTAGCGCTCTGAGAAGCTAAGGCAGGAGGACTGCAAAGTTGAACCTCACCCTGGGAAATATAGCAACTTAGTGAGATCCTGTCCCAAAACAAAAGACCAAAGGGCTTTAGAAACAAAAGTATGCAAAGGCCCTGAGCTCAACCCCAGTATCTCAAAAACAAAACAAAGCAAAAAAAAAAAAAAAAAAAAAAAAACAGAGAGAGAGACAGAGAAAGAGAGAGGAACAAAACTCTTGCATATACAATCAAATGATTTTGGCAAGGATCTAAGACTCATTAGTGGGCAAGGAACAGTCTTTTAAACAAGTAGTGTTGAGAAAACTGGAAAAGAGAGAACGTGGACTCTTACCCGACATTCTATAAAAATGCATTCAAAATGGGTAAAAGACCTAAACATAAAACCTACAACTATGAAACTTTTAGGAGAAAATGCAGGAGTAATTGTGTGTGTAACACTGATTAGGCAATGATTTCTTGACTATGACACCAACAGTGCAAGTAACTAATGAGAGAAACAAAGTAGACTTCATAAACATGAATCGAAAGACAGTATCAACAGAGTGAAAAGGCATCACACAGAATAAGAAAAAAACCCTTGTAAATCATATATCTGATAAGGGTGGTATCCAGAATACACAGAGAATAAGTAATAGTAACAAAAAAATAGGTCACCAGTTCATAAATAGGCAAAGGACTAGAATAGATGTTTCTCAAAAGAAGATAAACAAGTGGCCGTTAAGCACTTGAAAAGATTCTTAGCATCATGGATCATCCAAGAACTGCAAATCAAAAGTACAATGAGATACCACTTCATGCCTGTTAAGACAGCTACTATCCAGGCAGAAAATCTATGTGAGTGTGCTCATGTGGGGCACATACTTAAAATCCCAGCACTTAAGAGGCTGAGGCAAAGAAGATCCTAAGTTTGAGGCCAGTTTAGCAACATGTGAGACCCATTCTTGAAACAAACTAAAACCAGATTAATAAGTGTTGATGAAATCTGGAAAAAATAGAACTTTATGCCTTCTTGGTAGAAATGTTAGAAATGGTATATACACTATATAAAATACCATTGTTCTTTTAAAAATTAAGCATAGAAGTATCATGCAATTAAGCAGTTTCACTACTGAGTGCATGCCCCCGAAGAAACTGAAATTTAAGTCTCAAGAAAATAGAGTCTTAAACATGTATATTCATGTTCGTAGCAGCAATCTTTACAATAACTAAAACGTGAAAACAACCCAAGCATATGCTGGTGGATAAATGGATAAGCAGTCACAAATACCCAACACTATGTTATTAATCCTTGAAGAGGAAAGACATTCTGGCATATGCTGCAGCATGGATGAGCCTTGAGGACATTATGCTAAGTGAAATAATCCAGTCACAGAAGGACAACTGCTGTATGAATCCATCTACATGGGTACTCAGAGTATTCAAGACCATCTGGAGAGGAATTAGAATAGTAGCTACCAGGCACGGGGGAGGAAGGAACAGAAAGTAATTGTTTAATAGGTCCTGAGCTTCACCTTCAAAAGATGAAAGGGAATAATGGTTATCATCAAGAAATCAAATAATGGGGGCTGAGGGTTTAGCTCAGCAGCATAAGCACCTGCCTTGCAAGCAGGCAGTCGTGAGTTCGATCCCCGGTACCGATAGGAAAAAAAAAAAAGACAAGAAAGAAATCAAATAATGAATGCTGGCGAGGCTTCAGGGAGGAAAAGGAACACTTCTACATTGTTAATGCGAACGCAAACTAGTACAGTGGCTATGGAAATAAGTACGGAAATTCCTTCTAACACTAGAACTTCTGTTTGACCAAGGTATTCCCTTTTTTGGTATCTTACTGAAAGAGTTAGAAGCATCATACTACAGTGATACATGCATACTCATATTTATAGCAGCGAAATTCTTAAGAACTAAATCATGTAGATAACTCTTATGTCCAGCAACAAGTGAATGGGTAAGGAAAGTGTATTTAGACATAACGCTGCTTTTCCATAAAGATCTGTAGGCCAATGAATGCACCTTGAGACCGTAATGTTAAGTGAAATACATCAGACATATGGGCTTAAATATCACATAGTTTCACTTACATGAGAAACCCAAAGTGCAAATAAAGAGCAAATAATAGGAAGTAGGAAGGTAGATCTTTCTCAGATGGAAAGGGGATCAAGAAATTGGCAGGGAGGAAAAGCTGTATTAAAATGTGTTGTGTATATGGGCCAACTCCACATAAGGAATGTAAACATTATACACTGCAAACATGCACTAACAAAAAAAAGACAAAAAGAGTTGGGCAGGTGGATGATGGTGATTATTGTGCACATTATGAATGTATATAACACCAGTGAACGTACACTTAAAAGTGGTTAAGATTGCGAATGTAGATATTTTACAATTTTAAAAATGGCATAAAAACTTACATTACAAAATATTGTATTGTTAAACAAAACCCACAACCACCATCTCCACTAGACAACTTTCAATGGTTTGGGTTCACAGAAGTGTAGGGACATTTAAAAAATATCCATTACCTTTTTAGTCTATGATAAGCCATTCTAGAAAGGCTGTAGGTCCACTAATAAAACTTTTTAGCACTGTTACTTTGTGGATTCTGAGACTAGCAACTTGTACTCAAGTTCTGATAATATTTTCAAAGTATTTCTGCTGCCCAGAAGTGCCACTATGGCCATGAAACAAGCCACACTGCCTTGAAAGTGTATGTTGATCACATATTGATGACTTGTTGAAGTGTTCCACCTATTAATGGAGCTTAAGGCAAACGAATACCACAGGAGCTAGCTAATCCAAGCTGTGGGCTACTTGCTGTGTATCCTAGAAAAATAACATCTATTCAAGCCTGAATTTCTCTTTCTATAAGATGTAGAGAAAGATATTCAAAAGATGAGTGGAATATTAAACGAAACAGGTTGGCATGCGGTTAGTACTGTCAGGGTGGTCATGCCTTGCTTGCACTTTGAAGAAATTGTTCATTTCCCTTTCTAGAAAGAAAGGAAACTTTCTTCCTTTATTTTCAATGCAACAAATGCCAGGCGATCTTCTATTCTCAGCCTCTTTTCAATTGTAATAGACTGCGGAACTATGATTCTAGACTCTTGCTGCTGTAATTGAATAGGACTGTGTAAACTGTCCAGGCTGTGTAATCCTGTTAAATTAAGAAATATCCCCTCTTGCAAGTGATCTTTAACCTCAAACACACTAAAGTAAATTGGATGCCATTTTAATTTTTGCCCACTATGGATGATACCAAAGCCAATGGTGACCACCGTTATTTGAGAGGTGGGGTGCACGCTGACTTACCTGACTTGCCCAAGGCCTCATTCTTTGCTCCCATGGCTCTATTCTGTAGCAAAGCTCCCACGGCACTAGTTACAGTTGGTTGTTTCTTGGGACTCACCTGAGCCTTATCCTACAGAGAGAAAGAGAGAGAGACAAGAGACGGAGCACAGTACTATAGCCCAGGTAACAACTGGAGCTAAAGCTATTTCCACTTAACCAACACATTAGAGTCATCTGCAGAGACAAGGGACAGACACACACCCGGCACCTCTGTTCACTTGGGCCCTGTTCCCCCATCACCACCAGCACCATCACAGTTGCTCAAAGCCATATCTGAGTCTTAGAGTTTTCATCCCACAGTCAAGCCTTTGGAGTCAGTGGCGGTATGTTTACCCTATAAAAGTGGGTGAATGGAGACATCGGAAATCCCTTTCTGTCCATAAAGACAGAGTTGTGAAACATTTTTTTCATTACACGTTAAGACAATTTTGTTTTCAAACATGAACAGAGAAAAAAATCAGACTGACTGGCAGCAAACGTTTTAAGCATGGAATGCCAGAGTCCCTAGGTTATCTCAGTCCTCCTAGAGCAGTGGCAGAATGATGGGATTAGCCTGAGATAGAACCAACAGGCTTCCCGGGGCTCCTTTCATCTTGCTCCAAACCACCTCCAGTCCCTCACAAGCTATGGTCAGAGATAACCTGTTAATCTGCATAAGACTTCCCGCCTGGAAAAGGGAGTTTGTGAGATTACATCAGGCAATTCATCCCCATCCAAAGCAAGTTATTTTTAGTGGCCCATATTGGGCTCTTTGCGCTAAAGATATGATGCATTTTTAAAGTTGATTATGTTTAAAATGGAAACACATTTAACAGCCCTTCAAGACCGAAGCCACCCCTTCCTTCTTGCTTCATTTCTGAATGAGCACCACTGTTAATCAAGGCCCCAAAGTGGTGATGATGCGATGCTTGATAGTGAGTGACAGGATTCAGAGAGTGAGCAAGGAGGTCGCTTCTGTATTCCCAGGCACTGCTTAGCTCTGGAGAGCAAGTCAGGAACAGTGCCAGCTGGCCTTCTGCAGGCCTAAGGAACACTTCCGTTTGCTGCTTCCCTGTGCCCTTTTTAGCCTAGGAATTCCTGCTACCCTGTGGACTGGTGGTTTAAAGAACCATTTGCAGAAATGTAATTGGTTCTCTACTGCTTTACAAAGTGGAGAGAGTTACACCTAAGAAACATTTCCAAAATTAGGTTGAATTCGAACCTTCTAGCAGCAAACATTTCTTACATCAATTATTCTGCATCCTTCCCCACATACCCTTATTAGGACTCTTACTCTGGGACCTCATTTTCCCATGTTGCAATCTCAATCAGCAGGCCACTTTGCAGATGCTGCCCTTCCTGCCTGCAAATTGCAACTGGTGAGCTCATTTTAAATCTTACAGAGGAAATGTTCACTTGCCTTTGAAGATGCTCAGGAATCCCCTCCATAGCTCTCCTTATGTCAACTAAACTACTGCATCTTGTGCTATTTCTAAGTCCCTTCTTTGAAATCCAAATCCCTGATTAAGCAGTACCTAGCTTGGATGGTCTGGTGAACAGTAGATGTGCAATAACTCCCTACTTTAAGGACGAAGCGGGGCGGGGGGGATAGGGAGAGAGAGAGATTGATTAAAATCCATCATCTGTAGCATATGCTTGTCATGGAAAGGGTCCCACCCCTATTAGGTGCTGGATTTAACTGAAGAATTTCTAAGTAAGCTGTATGCTCAAAGTATCCAAGACCAATTTAATACTTTTCTTGGTGGCTGAGCCATGCTATGACCCTAATAGCTTTTATACTATACTATGAGTTATGTCACTGTGACTTTGATGTATATGGAGCTGTTTGCTGATGCAGTCCTATCTGTGCCTGCAAAGCTATTGTTATCCGGCTCAGGGGATAAGGGTGCCCTTTCCTTATGGGCACCCATTTGTAATGGAGGCTTTGATTCATCTGCATGCCCATTTAACTTGCTGATTCCGTGCCTCTGAAAACCCTGAAGATCCTCCCCCAACCATAGACCGGAACACATGACCTGTGGGGTGTCTTCCTGGGGATAACCCCATCCAGGCTAGTTTAACTCAGAGTCCCAGTTCTTCTCTGGCTGATGATTATCACTAAATAAACAGGCTATTATTGTAACCTCATAGAAACTTTTATATATCCCAGCCTTCATCCTAAGAACTCTCAAACATAACATATTTAAACGCCCAAAGATGCTAATCTGCAAAGATGGTTCCAAAAGAAGTGACAGTCATCAGCTCTCTTGACTTGTTCATTCTTACTTGCTAGCTGAGGAACCTGAGCAAATTCTCCTTGATTTCTCAGGTATCCAAGGACACAGAGCCCACACCTGGACATTTACCTGAGCTCTTGATGCCAATTTAGCTGCAGTCTGAGCTGGATCAAAGACTCGACGAGAAGACTGATCTTTGCAGAAATTAATATGCCGGCCGGCAGCGGTTTCATTAAATCTCCTCATACAATATGGGCATTGGATATAGTCTGAATGTGAAGATAATAGCAGAGAGCCAATTAACAATTCAGAAACAAATATGGAACGAACTCTGTAAGTAGAATATCAACTGAAAAGATAAGTAAAATATGAACAGCATGAAAGAACAAGTTCCCAAACTCTAGTATGAGACAGAGCATTGAGACAGAGCGGGAGGCAAGCAAGGGTCAACATAAATGAGATTGCAGGAGAAATTTTACTCCCTGAGCACTCATTTCAATCAAAAATGTGCCCATAAAATGTGTATGTGACACCTTTCCTTAGTAGGTTCCTTATACTTAGGAACTTCCCCATTAAAAGGATTATTTATTAAATCCTTATGTAAGGAAAGCAGCCCAGAAATGGGAGCTCGTTGGTACTGCTGGTGAGGAAAGGCACTGAAAATCCAAAATGAAGCAGAGGCTATGGTGCCAGGTGAGGCAGGAGGTCATACAGAAATGACTGCCTTACCGAGGGAGATAAGGTTTCATTTCGAAATGTGGCTTTGGGGTAAGGCTAGAAGGCAATGCTGCTGTGTCACTAGTGGAAAGAAGTACCGCTTTTGCAGCAGCTGGAGTCTTTTCACTTTACTAGGTGAGGAGGCAAATAATATGTTCAGGAGAGTAAAAGGATGAGAGATGTCAGGGGTCAAATAATCAGAGAAGAAACAAAGGAGGGGTGATGGGAAAATGGCCTCAGACTCAGCTTCAGCTTCGGGGATGCGAATTCCAGGCAGCTCTTGTTGGCCTGCTAAGTCCTCTGGGATTCTGCGAAATACCTTTGCGTCTGAATGTTTCTTTCAGTTGCAACGGTCAGACAAGACCAAGCGGGAAGTGAGAAAGATGTAGGTCTTCTTGGAATGTGGAGCTGTTTGTAGCAAAGCTAAGTCAGGGCCTCCCTGGCTGAAGCAGGCAGGGATGGAATTTGCTCTGTTTTGACTTGGGCAACTTTAAAGGATAACAAAGAGGATATGAGTGACATAACAGAAACTCCCCCCAAGGTTCCTACACCAGGCCAACCTTAAACTCAGCATGGAAGTTTAGATATGTGCAGTCAAAATTCCTACATTCTTAAGCAGTTCGGGCTATTTTCTATCTGAACAAATCATGTCCTAGTTGTCCTAAAATGTAGGAATTGTAAGCACTTAGAAATTATCATTCTGGCTATTTCACATTCTGAAAGGCAGTACTTAATGATCAAAATTTCCTGAACACATACTTGGTGGCAGGAAGACTTTATGGGTAGGGAAACTTTAGCTTTAGAGATGGGGATGCCATGCCTATCCAGTCAAGGAGTAAGCAGGCCAACACAGAAACAAATCAAAGCAACAAAAATCCCACCACGAAAAATGTCTTCAGAGTAAACAGGTCAGACAAGACAGCACTGGGAAAAGGCGCAGAGGCCTGGAACCTGCCGGGCTGGTTTGGAGCTTGCAATGCCTGTGAACTTGGGCAAATTACTCAACTTCCTTAAGCCAGTTTCCTCAGCACCGTTCATATCATCCGTCTCACTGGGCTGCTGCAAAAGTTAACTAGGATTACCCCCTCGTGAGCTCGGCATGGTAAGCGGAGAGGAACAGACTGCATATTTCATAAATGCTAGCTCTGGTGCAGCAAGGTTGTGTTTGCAACTACCAAACAGGAAGGGATGCGACTGGTTAGGAGAAAACTAACGTTGGAAGTGCCATGATGACTCAGAGCTTATTAACAATGCTGCAGAAAACTGTATAGAACCTGGTGAGGTAGTGAGCGGGTGGTTATTTCTTCATTTTTTATCAACTAGCATTAGCAATGAACCCTACTCAAACAGGCAAAGACATTGGCCAGGGCAATTCTGAACTGCTTGCTCTGTCACTCACTGTCACCCTTCTGTGTACCACCATGTGCCACCATGGGGGCAACCAAGTTCAGTTATAGTTCCCTGCCAACAAAATATCGGGGATGATGAGACAGATAGACAATTGCCACCTGGCAGGATAAGCTATGGGGGGGGGGGATGAGCTGTGGGGGCCTCTCTGGGGTCCACAGGAGGGACCAGCAGCTCAGCTGCAGGGAGTGGGTGGGAGTCTGCCCCGCTGCGTTATGCTGAATACCGAACACTCTGAGAATGGAGAACATTATTTTTCTAAACAAGCATCTAACTGTGGCACACTGAGCCACACGTTCCTCCTCAGCTCAGAGTCACCTTTCTTCATTTGTCAACACTGCTTTTACAGAAACTACGATGTCCCATGTATTTCAATAGAGATGATTTCAAACTTCAGACTACAAATGGATTCTGGTGGCCAAGTCTTGTACAAAGTTAAGGTAGAAACATAAGCGTCATTTTTAAATGCAAACACTGATAGAGACGCCACATGAAACAGTGACCGAATGTCTTGGGCCCCAAAGAATAACCCCAAATCTAAATATTTTACATCACTGCCTCTATAAAGTACCACAATATCCTGGAAATTTAAATCATCCTCTGACTCGGTTACATCAGTAAGGAATAGAATACACCCATGAATGTTACAAAACCTGAAGCATGAAAGAAAAAGGAATGACTTTCAATGACAGGTATATTAGGCCATATTATATATATTTCTAGTCATGTGTATGCATGCATTTTCTAGTACTTAAGCCTGAGAATATTGGATAATATAAAATTCTTGCACAATCAAAATAATCAAGTCATAATGAAAATGTGGTATTGTAATAGAATTATTTTACTTGTTGCATATAATTATAGTTAAGTGCACAAGAAAGAATTTAATTATAAAACTCTATTTTGGCATAAAAATGTGAAAGGAAAATGAACTGAACATGCAAGGAGGCCTTGCAAGGGGAAATTTCTTTTTTTTTTTTTAGAGAAAACAACCCTCACACTTTAGATCCAACTTAGTAATGAGAAAAATTCACACAGTACAACATTTGACATGGTTTCACTTATTCAACTAAAGGGCTATAAATTAGCCCTTTACATATTGTGTATTCTAAAACAAAGCTCTTTCTCATAAAAGATGCTTTTTCCCCATGAAATTTGTTACTTTCATATTATTAAAATTGTAGCCACAGGTTTTTCTAATGAGCCTCTCAAGACAGCACATTATCTATCTTAAGCTACATTTTCATCACTACCCAGTAAAAGTGAAAGCAATTATGCAGATTATTTTATGATACAGAAGTTCAGATCATGTGTTTGGTAGATAACTTTTTAGTATAATCTCACTGTGGCATTTTGTTTTTGTACTTTTTTAGATGACTCTGAAGGTTAATTTATGTAAAATAAAATTTAACTATCTGAAGTGTACAGTTTAACAAGTTTGGACAAATGTGCCACTCTAATTAGCACAGAGGACATTTTCATCACTTCCAAATTTCCCTCAAGCTTCATTTCAGGTATAGACCTCTAACGCTGCCTCTACTTCCCTGTCGCTATACACAAATTTCACTTCATCTCTAATATCACAGAACATCCACCCTCCTGCATGTGTAGCTAAGTAATATTTCACTTTATAAACATTCCATAATTTGCTTGTTGGTTGTTGGTGGATTTCTAGGTTATGCTACATAAATAAAGCTATGAACATTCACATATAAGGCTTTTCTGTGGACTTTTTTTTTGCAAGAGTATCTAAAAGTGGAACTGCTACATAGGTTAAGTGTTTGTTCGAGGAAACACCAGTGCAAAGTGTTTTATTTGGTATCATTTTGCAACTTGTCTGTTCAAATACAATTCTTGTCTTTTTCTTGGAGGGTTGTGTCATTACTGAGTTGTAAGAGTTCCGTTTGATGGACAGATGGATCGATTAATGTTAGTGAGGATTGAACTACATCCCCAGCCCTTTTAATTTCTTATTTTGAGACAAGGTCTTGCTAAGTTTCTGAGTTCCCCAAGTTGGGCTTGAACTTGCGATCCTCCTGAGTCAGCCTCCCAGAGTGCTGGGAATAGAAGTGTGCCACAAGCCTGGCTTAGTTCTTTATATATTCTTGACATGAGTCCTTTTTCAAATAGATGTTATAGGGGCTGGGGATTTAGCTCAGTGGCATAAGCACCTACCTGGCAAGTGCAAGGTCATGAGTTCAATGCCTGATACCAAAAAAGATTCAAATGGATGTTATAAATAGTTGCTCCCAGCTTGTAGGTAGCCTTTTTGTTCTTAGTGGTATGTCTCAAAATGTAATTTTTATTTTTCATGAAGCCAAATCTACTACCAAATTTTTAAAAAACTTAGCATTTGTGTCCTGTCTGAGAAATCTTTGTTGACCAATTTTTAGTTTTTTCTAGAAATTTTATTGTTATAGTACTTCGGTAAATGATGTGTGTTAATTTTTATGTGTATTGTAAGAATCAGAGTTCATTTTTCCCATATGGATATAGAGAATCATTTGTCGTTCCAGAATCATTTGGTGATATGACCATATTTGCATCCTTTTAATAAGTCAGTTGCATATAGAACGAGGGCAGGGCCTATATCTAGATTCTATTTTCAATCGATACATCCATTTCCAAGTCAGGACTACTGTACTCTTGATGTTCGTCAAGATTTTGTGCTTTTTGTTTTGTTTTCTTTTTCCCCAAGGCTGCTACAAATTCTTCCATATTTTACACATTTTTGAAGTCAGCTATCCAATTCCACCTTTGTGAAAATGCAGGTATTTAGAATGACATTGAAACCACAGATCAATTTGGGTAGAAATGATATCACAATGCTGAATCTCCCAAGCCAGAAAAATAGTAAATCTTGCTCCTTATTTTGGTCCTTTTCAATTCTTTGAAGAAATGTTTTGTACTTTTCATTTTACGGGTCCTGTACATTTTTAAAACTAAAATGTTTTTATTTTTATTGGTACATGTTTGCAGTAGATAATGATTACATTCTCATGTAGTGTTGGTACATGTATATAACACATTGATTCTTGTTACATCTTTTTCTTCCCTTCCTCCTTGCTCCATCTCTTAGGCCCTGCACATTTTTGCTAACTATATTCCCAAATATTTAATTTTTATATTATAGTAACTGGCCTTT